CTGGAAATATGGACAGATTCTACGTAAACATATGTGATGGAGGACTTGTGATTTGTTTAGTTTCAGGCATTTGTTGCCCTTGTTCTGTGAACGGAAAATCTTTATTCTTCAATTCCCTAGCTCAACTTCAAACCCGCGCTGTTAAAAATCTATAAGGAATCTATAGAGAGAAAAGGATCAGAGGGAAAATGTTAAGCGCTGAGTGTTGCTTCATAGTGTTTTGGTGCTTTCATAGTTTGTACTACAATGTCAAGTATACAGCACAAATTGAAAAAAAAAAATCTAAGCATTTTGTTGTTACATGTTGAAAATAAAAGTCAAAAAGATTAAATACAACAAATTACAATTTTCATTACATGTAGCTACTTATGTTATCATATGAGCATAGATATTCTACTCACAAAGTATAGTTTTTGTCAAAACTGGCTTGGAAATCTCCTTATTTCGTTCCTGGTTTTCTTGGATCACTGGAACCCCTGCTCTCACTTAGATTATACATAAAATGCATAATTCAGATGGGTTTAGGTTATGAATCCATATGCATATCCACATCTTTCATTGTGCATATGAGACTATAAGTCTTTCCATAACAGGCGTGACCTTTGTGCCTCAATCCTTTAGTCTTTAATAGGGACGGGGAAGTGTGACCAAAATACCACAGTGTGCATATATTGCATATATCATCGAATAAATGATAATAAATAACCAGATTCCATTTGTGAATCCAAACCCTGGTTTATTAGCATTCAAAACCTACAGTTCACGATTTCTTGAGGCTTTGACTTTTTCAATTTGGTCATGTCGTTGGCCCATGAACATCTTTCTCATTATTCTATTTCATAAAGAGACAATTCAATCAAATAGTCGTTAAAACAGCTGCCATAGCTTTATTTATTAACATGTGGATCTTTTTTTTTTTTTTTTTTTTGATTTTTGGAAGTTATGGGAATTTAATGAATAACATTAGGACCATTGTTTTTCCTTAAAATGGTCTATACAGCAAAAATAAAAAAAAAGATAAAAATGTGGTCACAATTTACAATATAGTTCTATTAGTTAAAGGTTATGTATTTACTCATTTGAACTAAGAATGAACAATACATTTATTACAGCATTTATTAATCATAGTTTAACACTAATGAGTTATTACAATCCAGAGTTGTGCTTGCTAAAATTAGTCAATCCACTGTGAGTTAATATGAACAACTTTCATTTTCCAACCAGCGCCCCTATTTTTGAAAATTTTCCAAAAAACGCCATGCCCAAATAAAAATGCATGTAGCTTTTTAACCCTGAGGTCTATTTTCACAAATATGGTCTTGTTTGAAACTAGACACTTACATGTTGGTTACTTAAAAGTTGCATAACAATATAGCAAAATATGGTTAAATATAGAAAAACATTACTCGTGACTTTTAGTAGATTACACTCATGAAAAAAATGGATGTTAATTGAATGGTAATGGATTAACAAAGATTATTAAACACTTTATAAATTCATTGTTCATTGTTTTTTCATATAGTAATACATTAACTAACAGTAACTAATGGAACTTTTTTTGCTATTTTAAGGGTTACCCTTAAAATATCGTCACCATAGAATTATACGTTTTTTTTAATATATATATATATATAAGGTATTTTTGTCAAAATTGAGTTATTCGTATATCCTTATTTAATAAAAACTTATTTACATTATGTGATTTTTTTATAAGATGTTTACAATTTAAGACTTTCTAATTTAAAAAAAAACAAAAAAAAAAAAGGTTTTATCTACAAAAGTTGAACTCTAGTTTGGCTCCATAAGGTTTTTTTTCTGTAAGCTAATCAGCATTGGCTTATTGGCTGAAATGCACACACGGGGACCAAACAGGATCAGATATGTGTAAATGTGATGATTTAGAAGCATTTTTGACATTATAATGAAGTGTTTAATTTTACAAAAAGAAACAGTTAATAAAAAATGCAATATATTAAATATGAAATTTTTATTTTGACATTTTTCAGTGTTTATTAGACAATAAGCAAATGATTTGTTTAAAGTTTATTTTCTTTTAAAGTCTTTAAATGTGATATTAAGCCTTTAAGGGCCAATTTAATTCATGGGGCATATAGTTCAAGACATTTAATTTGGTAACACTTCATTTTGATGGTCCATTTGAGTATTAGTAGACTGTCTGCTTAATATATGTTGATACTGCTCCTTCAACAGACATTTAACTATACGATCGACTAAACTTTGCAAGTACATGTCGATCAAACAGTCTACTTACTGCATAATCTAATGAGAATTAGTTGGCATCTAGATGCAATGTAACTTAAACTCAACAAACGGACCATCAAAATAAAGTGTGATCTATAATTCATATAAAGCATATAATTTAATAAATACATATTACCATATTAATGACATAAAATTAACAGCTGAACTGGATAAAATATTAAGCATACAGCCTTGTATGCCTAATCTGAACAAGAAAAAATATTTTTCCTAAAACATGAATTAAATGTTGTAGAAACCAAAAATTTTACTTTCTCAAACATCAACGTATTGTTACAACACCATTTTTTTTATTGAATTAAATTTATAAGCAGACTTATTGTATTTCTTGAAAAGTAATTCCGTAATTAATGATCTGCAAGACAGAACCTTATAATTGCAAGTGGATTTTTTTTAGAATCAGAAGGTTCCATTTGCATTTGCCCTGTTTGGCTTACCTCAATTTGCAATTTTGATAATTTGCATTTAGCGTCTCAGTCATGTTAATGTATAACAGAGAACTGTTACACACATATTGCTTGCTATATGGAATGAAAAATTTTGAAGCTCAATATCCCAAAATCCTTTAGAACACAGATAGAACCTTAAAACTCCAAGGCGACGATATTTTAAAATTTATTTCAATTTGTTATTCAAAGCTGAATCTCAGCATCATTACTCCAGTCTTCAATGTCACTTGGTCTATTGGAAATCATCTTAATAATCACATTTGCTGCTCTATCGTGAGGTTACAGATTTGCTATGCTGATGATATTGTTTGTAATCTACCAACATCACCGGCACAAGATTGCTTAAAACATGCTTTTTTTTGTGGTGTTAATATAATATAAAGGCACCAGTACCAGTTCACTGACTACCACAAACCTTAGTAAATCATCTTGGGAGGCGACTAAATAGTCTCCACCCATAAATTTAACATCTGAATGGAAAACTCTTGCTAATACACATTCAATGAGCCAGCCACTGTAAGCCACTATGTCCTTATTTTTCATCATAACATTTTTTTTATTATTATTATCAGTCTGTAATAAATCCTGCCAGTATTTTTTTACACTAGCAATCTTTTTAAAATAATATGTAGCCCACAGTTTCATTGTTGGTTACACACATCAAGCCATACACTACAAGAACATCTGCAAAAAGTAAGCTTTTTAAAAAACATTATATTATTAATCCATTTTAACAGATCTCAATGTATCATCAAGTCCCAATCCCATGGCATGAAAGCAAAGCCTATTAACCATCCGCTAATATTTTAGCACAGTGCTGTTTTTTTTAAGCAGAGCTAATGATGTGTCTTTTTTTTGTTGTTTGCATGATTTATTTGAAATTCATGAGGTGTCCAACTGCACAAGTTGACATGTGTCTCCATGGGGATAAATTATTGAGAAGACTTTGGTGTGTGGCAGCTGAAAGTCGAGACCATTAATAATGCAGAGGTCTGTATACAGTTAAAGCGTTATTACTTCTCTCGTAAGCTTTACGTTTTTTGCTTCACTGCATGGTGTCGTTTTTATTATTCGGATATTAGTGAAAAAGAAATGAAAGGGCTAGAATCTGAAATTGCAATGCCACAAAATGTCAAATATGTTTTTTAAATTCCCTTCTTAACTACCCATGCTTCTGGTGGAAAATCATATCGCTTCTCAATGTGATTACCACCTTGGGTCATTTGCTTTCTGTGGCATTACTATTGGAGTAAACCATAAACATCAATGCTATCAAGAGATCATTCTGGAAAGTTGTGTCTCTCTAAGCAACTTCTCCATTCTGTCATGGTCTCAAAAAGCCTTATCATCTAAACTGATTGCAGCGGTGTGTATGACTATATGCTTTTCCATTAAAAGTTGCTGGATTCCTGTGGACAAAAGCACAAAATTAGACGAGACGTGTACAGCACGGACAGAGGAATCCTCTGATGGCTCTGCCAGGCTTTTCTTCTCTTCTCGGATGTCCTGAGACAATCGTACAGCTGTCTGATGCTCTCCCCGCTCAGTAAGGAAGCGCCACACATCCATCATGCTCAGAGGGCGCCAGCACCGTTCCAACTCTCGCTCAACACTCTTTCTGCGCCTGGAAGAAGGCCAGACGTTTCTCAATCCTGAACGGGATCCTCTCAGCACTGCAAACATCTCCAGTTTTTTTTTTTTTTTTTTTGTATGGGTTTATGCATGCTAATGTGCGGCACAGCTATCTAATCTACTCTGGGGTGTTATGTTTGTCTACAGAACTTGTTTATCTAGCAGAAGCATTTGGGAGGAAGTAGAACAAAGGATGGAGCGAGCAGATGTGTTGCATGGTTTGCATCACCCCACAAATCATCTTCTGGCATGATATAAAAAGAGAGATTCAGCTGTATGTACCTGACATACTGTACCAGCCTTGTTCCAGAACCAAGCTATGGTTCTCACTGCCTACATAGATTCATATTCAATTCATGTTTTTTTTTTTCAGCTTAACATAGAAGTTCTTGTGAATTGAAACTGCTTCAGTCTAGTTTTCAGAGATGAAGTTCAGTTTAGTGTGATTTAAAATACTGAAAAGTCCAAATACTGAAGAGCAAATCCATCGATGCGCAGCTCCACAAGTCCCAAAACAAGTGTGGCGCTCGAGGGGTTTATTAGTTTTAGCTTAGGTAGGTTGCATTCACTCCCTTACACAAAACACCAACTACGCCAGATTGTGGCGCAGGGGCTCGAGAACAGCAAGGAGGGAGCAAACACACAAAAGGTTTCAATAAAGAATTTGTAGCGACTACACCACCCCAACTTAATGGGGAATAAAGTCCGAATAAGGACACAGGTTCGTTCCCTTTAAAATGAGTGAGAAACAAAATTTATTCTGCTTAAGCAATAGAGTTTACACTTGCATAAAATCACAATTAAAAGCACATTTCCTCAATATGGAGCAACAGTAATCAAATAATAATAATAATGATAATAATGATAAACACAAACACTAAACCCAGGAGCTGGGCTCTCACCAGGACAAGTGAACACCAAAGAATAAATCCACAGCACTCTATAGACACCACAGTGTACTTCACCCACTCAGCATCACACCACTCAAAGAAGTTCAGTTCAGTTCACTAAAAGGCCCTTCCACCCGTGAGGTCCAGGCTCCTGGAAAACACAAAAGGTGCAAATATACAAACACTATACTCAAATCAATTATAAAAATTACTGTTGCTCACAGAAATAAACACGTCAGACTTCCTAGTTTTACAATAAAACATTAAACTTAAAACATTAAACTAATATCACAACTGAGGAAAATCAAAACCAATACAACCAAGATGAAATACTAAAATAACAAAATGTGTGGTGTGGCTAAAACTTATAGCAGCAATACTAACAACACCATGAAATCAACATCCAAAAACATAAATGAAAGGAACTCAAATTTCACGCAAAACGAAAGTGAAACATAAAAACTGAACCAAACTGAACACAACCTGCCCCCCTCTACTTGAGGCGATATCCACGACAGTTTGTTCGATGTGATGGCAGAGCTCCTGATCGCTACTGGAATGGCTCGAATATTAAAACGGATGCCTGGTGCAGGATGCACCCATATAATTTGATAGAAAGGCAATAGTAACGCAACGTTATTCGCAATGGAGAAGGAGGATCTGTATGAAACAAACAGCGTTAGCCACTATCGTCAGAAAGTGCTTAAAATGCACATGACTTAAAAAGGCAAGAACTCACCACAGGTATAACAGTCAGAAGCAGCAGTCTTTTAACCAACGTATGATCATTAAAACATGAGGCAGGAAACACTAGAGCGACAGAGAACTAATAATTACAAAGAATCACCCAGGAAACGCCTCCCCAGTTAATTCAAGCCACTGCGTGTGATGTAAACATACCTGTGCACAGCTTACAGCGTACTCATACAGCTTCACTCATGCAGTCTATGTAACAACCCTAAATTTAACACGACCATTAGTATTACACTAAGGTTCAGGTTAACAGCGGCCAAAAAGCCAACGCACTTACTTGCAAACACTACCAACCAGAGACCCAAAACCAGGAAGTGATGCAAAAGACCTGAAGTCAGACGTGACCTGCTGTGAGGCTGAACTTCCCAGTTTATATAGCAGGGTGCCACCTGCTGATAGGTGGGTGAAACTGTCAGTCACCACACCCATTCTATCACACAAGCAAGCCAGTGGTGACAGTGGCGAGAAACAAACTTCCCCAATTGATGAAAGTGAAGGAAGAAACCTTAAGAGAAACCAAGCTCGGTTGGACACGACCATTTCTCCTCTGGCCTAGCTTCTTGTGCAGAGCTGCAGTCTAAGCACCGTAGGCTAGAGAACGCTAGACGTCACCCACAGGATCCGCAGTCTCCTGCTCTCCACTACTCCATGACCGCCACAGCATCTGCTCAGGATACAGCCTGGTCCAGGATTATGGATAATATCGTAAAATATTTATTTTAAATCAGCTTTATCAATTATCAAGACACCTCACTCATTACAGTTTTATAACGATCTACATACAGTAAGAACTAACTATAAATGACTGCAATGTTTCACAGCTGAATGTGCACACAAGTCTATTTGCTCGGCAGTGAACAAGAGATAACTGTGATTGCATATTACCATTGGATACTCCCAATACGAATTATGTTTTACAATAGACCAATATACATCCTTCTATCGGACTTCTGGATAGGTAGCAACCAGAGGATTGCCTTTAGTGGGGAACTCTTTTTAAGTAGATGCTGTTCTTAAAAACAAACTGCATATTTGCAATCTTAACAGCTACAATCTTCCCTGAAAAATTCTCAAATATACATTATGTGGTTCAAAAGCTGCAGTTTTTCTCAAACTGTTTTGTGTAGCCTTCTGCTTGCCACTCGTTGAGGGCGGAGTGATACACACAGCTAAAGAGGCTGGACTAGTGCTGATACTACTAAAATATAGCATGGCTATCCACCAATCAGCTTCAAGTACCAGAAAGAATTGTTGTGTTCACACTAAATATATTGTCAAATAATACAATTAAACAAAAACAATACAAAAGAAAGAAACTGACAAAAAGCTATAAAAGAAAATGGTTTAGAATCTTTAATTAAAAAGTAATAATATATGAAATTCAATTATATTAAAGTATTTATTATAATAAATTATGGACCATTTTGAGGGATGTAAACAATAACAATGCTTCTAATGTATTTCCTGTTTTTTTTTTTTGTTTGTTTTTTTAATTTCCATAGCTTCCAAGAATCCAAAAAGGCCCACATATTGACAAATAATGTAAAGTAATGTAATGCAATGTGTATTTATATTGCGCATTTATTATGTATGGCCATACACCCAAAGCGCTTCACAATCATAAGGGAGGGCTGTTCACACCACCACCAGTGTGTAGCATCTACTTGGATGATGCGACGGCAGCCACAGGACAACGGCGCCAGTGCGCTCACCACGCACCAGCTATTGGTGGAGTGAGGAGACAGTGATAGAGCCAATACAGTGGATGGGAATGATTGGGAGGCCATGATCATAAGGGGTGATTGAGGGACTTTGACCAGGACACCGGGTTTACACCCTAACTCTTTAAGAGAAGTGCCATGGGATTTTTAGTGACCACAGGAAGTCAGGACTTTGGTTTAACGTCCCATCCAAACGCCCACTGACAGTGTAGTATATATATATATATATATATATATATATATATATATATATATATATATATATATATATATATATATATATATATATAGTTTAGGTTATACTTATAAACCCTTTATTCTGACACAGTTTTTGATTAACAGGTTTAGATTTCCAGTGTGGTTTTACCCACAAACATTTTGTACATTATGTCAATTTCTTAATAGATCAACTTGTTTATAACTAGAATAAATACCATAATTTCCTTTAGTTTCTCAAAATAAAAGTCATGTAAAAAAAATAATAATAATAATTTGCATATGCATTTAACTCTGAATTAATCAACCAGATATTGTAATGCTGAGCCAAAAAAAACATCTGCAAAGGCAAGAACCGCACTGTTCGTCAAGCCTGCATTTCAAGTGTTTCAACACTTCTACGATCAAACTGACTTCTGCTGTGTGTAAGGGATCTGGGGATGTTTGGTAGTGTTCTTGTCTGCTTTATTTTGATATTTTCCTTTTGGCTTTCACTTTTAAGTCCTTTTTTGATGTTCTTGTCTTGTTTTTGTTTGCTAACCCCAAACTGACGGTGTCCAGGTGTGTCTTGTTTTATCATTAGTTTTGGTGTATTTGCACCCCTGTGTTTACCTCCTGTCTTTGTTGAGATTTGTTTGTTTTTACGTGGCTTGTCTGGTGAATTCTTGAAATTATTTGTCTTGTTTGTTTTGTGTTTCATGTCGAGTCTTGAACGACTGTGGGTTATTTTACGTGTTTCAGTGCTGAAACACATTAGAGGTGAATGAAATGTGACTTAAAATAGCAGTCGTAATAATTTCAAATAACTTGTACAAGTTAATATAATATTATGATACACTTTTTAGTTAATTTAGAGACTTTTTGGCTTCCATATTTTCATATTCTCATTTTTTTTCCAGACTGATGTAACGAAATCATTCAAAATAAACTTTTAGGTGTATATTTTGTCACTCATTGTCAGTTTGTGTCAATAGATTTCATTTATAATAAATATTTATTCTCTGAAGTATTTTTTTTTTCCTACACTAAAG